GTGCCAGTGCGTCTGCCGTCCTAGGTGCTGGTGAGTCTGCTCTCTCAGGTACTACGTCGGCTCAGGCCTTCCACACCTTCACCCTGGACTCGGGTGCGTCCTGCTCCTTCTTTCGAGACCGCACCACTCTTACACCGCTTAGTCGGCCGGTTGCAGTCTCCCTGGCAGACCCCTCTGGGGGTCCTGTCCTTGCTAGCTTCTCCACTGTCCTTCCGTGCCCTGCAGCCCCCTCTGGCACCCTGTCTGGTCTCTACCTCCCCTCGTTCTCTACGAACTTGGTGAGTGGAGCGACCTACAGGATCGAGGGGTTGACCAGATCACTCCTGCGAGTCAGCGAGTGACCCACTGCACGTGTGCTCGGACAGGCCGACACTTGGCCACGTTCACCCGTCGGCCAGGGTCGAGCCTGTACACCCATACTGCTGAGTCTCCTCCTGCTGCTGAGTCTGCCGAGGTAGCTGCGTCGAGTCAGGTGTTTGCTGCGGCGTCCAGGTCTGGTCCTGAGTCTGCCCCCTGCTCGTGTCGTCTGCTGTCCCACCAGACTCTCCTTTGGCACCACCGCCTTGGTCACCCCTCCTTGCCTCGTCTCCGAGGCATGGCCTCCCGTGTCCTTGTCTCTGGTCTCCCTCGGTCTCTCCCTTCACTTCCTCCGGGGCCAGGCCCTACCTGCGTCCCCTGCGTCGAGGGGCGACAGCGCGCCGCCCCTCACTCCTCCGAGTTTCTTCCGACAAAGGCTCCGCTGCAGACTCTACACATGGACGTGTGGGGCCCAGCCCGCGTCAGTGGGCAGGGGCGAGAGCGGTACTTTCTGCTGGTCGTTGACGACTACTCGCGTTACACCACAATCTTCCGCTTGCGCAGCAAGGGTGACGTCACTGAGGTGTTGATCGACTGGATCCGCGCAGCTCGTTTCCAGCTGAGAGAGAGTTTCGGCTCGGACTTTCCTGTTCTGCGTCTGCACTCGGACAGAGGCGGGGAGTTTTCCTCTGCCCGTCTGGGAGCCTTCTGTGGTGCACAGGGCATCTGCCAGACCTTCACGCTTCCGCCCTCTCCACAGCAAAATGGGATTGCTGAGCGCCGCATTGGCATGGTCATGGGCGTCGCTCGTACGTCCATGATGCATGCGGCTGCCCCCCATTTTCTGTGGCCGTTTGCGGTTCAGTACGCCGCGCATCAGCTCAACCTTCAGCCCCGGGTCTCCTTGCCAGAGACCTCCCCCACCTTGCGGTGGACGGGGAAGGTTGGCAATGCGTCTGCGTTTCGGGTCTGGGGATCTCGGGCGTTTGTCCGCGACTTGTCTGCGGACAAGCTGTCTCCCCGTGCTGTTCCCTGCGTCTTTCTTGGCTTCCCCCCTGACGCACCTGGGTGGCAGTTTTACCACCCCACCTCGCGCCGTGTTCTATCCTCCCAGGACGTCACCTTTGACGAGTCGGTGCCTTACTACCGTCTCTTCCCCTACCGCACTGCGCCCCTCCCACCGCCGCCGCTCTTCCTTGCACCAGGTCCTCCCCCGGTAGACCCCCTCCCCCCTCACAGTCCCGCCCCATCAGGTATGTCCCAGGTAGACGCAGTCGAGCCTATCGAGGTAGCTGTTGACTCTGGTGCTGCTAGAGGTGCTGAGCCTGCGGGTGCCGGGTCTGGGGGTGCTTAGACTGGGGGTGCTGAGCCTGGGGGTGCGGAGTCTGGGGGTGCTGAGACAGGGGGTGCTGAGTCTGGGGGTGGTGAGCCTGGGGGTGCTGGGTCCAGGGGTGCGGAGCCTGGAGGTGCGGAGCCTGGAGGTGCGGAGCCTGGGGGTGCCGAGCCTGGGGGCGCTGGGTCTGCTCGTGTGGCCGCCGGCGGTGCTTCGTCGAGGCGTGAGCCACTCTCTCTACAGGAGTTGCGCGAGTGGTTTGCCCGCCGCTGGAGACGTGCTGCTGAGACTGGGGGTGCTGCTAGGGCTACTGGAGTTGGTCCTGCTGGAGCTGCTGGCGGTACTAGTGCTGCTGGAGCTGGAGCTGCTGGGGGTGTTGGCGCTGGTGTTTCTACTGGCACTGGTGCGTCTGGGGGTTCTGCTGAGGCTGCTGGAGCTGACGGTCCTACTAGAGTTGGTGTTGCTAGAGCTGGAGCTGCTGGGGGTGTTGGCGCTGGCGGTGCTGCTGGCGCTGGTGCTTCTGAGGGTGCTGGAGTTGGCGCTGTTGGAGCTGGAGGTGCTGCTCACCCTGGTGCTGCCGCTGAGGGTACTGGTGTCGTCCTTGCTGGTTCTGGAGGCGCTGAGCGGCCGAGGCCGTACTTCGTTCCGCTCCTGGAGCAGGTTCTTGGTCTCCCGCCCTCTCCTAGTCCTGCTCCTTCCTTAGAGTGTCCACAGCCTGTCCAGTCGCAGTCACGGTTAGAGCCCGCCTCCCCTCTACGTGCTCCTTCTCCCTACACTGGTCCTACAGGAGGTCTTGCTGAGCGTTATACGCCTGCGTCTCGTCCTGCATCGCCTGATCGTGCTGCTCACACTCGTGGTCGTACTGCGCGTCCGCGTCCTCCTACGGTCCCCGGCACGCACCAGATGGCGCTGCATCCTTCCACTGCTCCTCTGCGTGTCCCGTTGCCGTCTCCTCCAGAGTCCTCTCTTCCTACTCTTACTAACCCGGAGTCTGACTCCCTTCGTGCTGCTAGTCCTTTGGTCACGCGTCTCCTTGCTACTGTTGTCACTGACCCTTCCTTTGAGTCCACTGCTGCGTCTGCCCTAGTTGCTGAGCTTGACGACTTCGCTGCTCGCTGTCGTCTAGACTACGCTGCTAGTCTCGTAGCTGAGTATGAGTCTGTGTGTCATCCGTCCGTCGGGGGTGAGTGTGCTCTTAGCACGGACGTCCTTGAGGACAGGCACAAGGAGTTCCAGTGCTTTGCTGCTGCTTTGCCCCATCTCGTGTCCACGCTGATTGCCTCTGAGGGAGACCCGGATGCACCAGACATCCCGACTCCTCGATCGTACGCTGAGGCAATCGAGGGTCCCTACTCCTCATTGTGGCAGTCAGCCATGGACGCAGAGATGGCTTCCTGGAATTCCACAGGCACCTACGTCGACGAGGTTCCCCCACCTGGGGCAAACATCGTCAGTGGCATGTGGATTTTCAGGGTGAAGCGGCCTCCGGGTTCTCCGCCTGTCTTCAAGGCGCGTTACGTGGCTCGAGGCTTCAGTCAGCGGCAGGGAGTTGACTACTTTCAGACCTTCTCTCCCACCCCGAAGATGACCACTCTTCGAGTGCTGCTGCACATAGCCGCTAAGCGCGACTACGAGCTTCACTTTCTTGACTTCAGCACAGCTTTCCTGCAGGGCAGCCTGCACGAGGAGATCTGGCTGCGCCGCCCACCTGGCTTCACTGGGTCGTTTCCCCCTGGTACCCAGTGGAGCCTCCGGTGGCTAGTCTACGGTCTCCGCCAGGCATCGCGTGAGTGGCACGACACACTGAGGACTACACTTGCGGCTCTTGGGTTTGCTCCTTCTACAGCCGACCCGTCGCTGTTTCTGCGCACCGACACCTCTTTGCCGCCGTTCTACATCCTCGTGTACGTCGACGACTTAGTCTTTGCCACTGCTGTCACTGCTGGACTCGCCCACGTGAAATCCGAGCTGCAAAAGAGATACACGTGCACAGACCTGCGTGAACTGTGCAGCTACCTTGGCTTGCAGATCACTCGGGAAAGAGCACAGCACACCATTACCCTGACTCAGTCACACATGGTGCAGCAGGTCTTTCAGCGCTTCGGCTTCACGTACTCCTCGCCTCAAGCCACTCGTCTGTCTACTCGCCACTCGCTCTCAGCTCTAGCTTCGGATGAGTCCGTAGAGCCGAGTGGCCCGTACCCAGAGCTTGTTGGCTGTCCATGTACCTAATGACCTGCACACGACCTGACCTTGCATACCCTCTTAGCATCTTGGCACGCTATTTTGCTCCTGGGAGACACCGACCAGAGCACATGGCTGCAGCGAAGAGGGTGTTGCGCTACGTGTGCAGTACGTCGGGCATGGGGCTAGTGCTTGGAGGGCGACGTCGAGTGGTCCTCACAGGTCACGCTGACGCTTCTTGGGCTGACGACCAGGCTCTGCAGCGGTCGTCACAGGGTTACACCTTCAGCCTTGGCTCCGGCTTCGTTTCGTGGCGGTCTACCCGCTTGTCTTCTCTCCACCTCCAAGGGGGGCGAGCAGCAGCGGGTAGACCTGTCCGATTTCTCCTCTCCACCTACCTCCTGAGTGCTGCAATCCTCAACTCAATCGTCTCCTTTTGGTGTCATGGCGTCCAAATTTAAATGGCTGGTTGCCTGTTGATGACACAACGTTGAGTTTCCTAAGGCTGGAGTGAGCACTACCATCTTTGCAAGGTTTTGCGACATCTCAAAACTCGAGCACTACCATCTTGGCAGGGCTGCCAAACAAGTCTAGGACGTAAAAGAAACAGTTGGACTTACTAGTGCATTGGGATCTGCACGAGACATGGATTTGTATAGATCCATGCGGCGAATGTCGGCCATATATTTGTCCAGCGAGATGCATTGGGATCTGCATGACAGCATGGATGTGTATAGATCCATGCGGCGACTGTCGGACGTAGTGTGACACTTGAGGAGGTTGGCAATGTCAGAGAACGGCTTCTGAGGCGCCTCAAAAGGTTTGTTTCTCATCGACAATGCAAGGCTGTTGAAGAAGTGGGAACTGAAGGTGCTACAGCATTAATGGCTGAGGCTTCAAAAATGCCTGCCATGTGTAAATTGCTCCGTGAGGCCATGCATACACCACATGCCTTTACTCGCAATCCTCTTCACTCCGCGGTGCCGCTCTCCTAACCTCCCGACCCGTCCCAGGTGGCGGAGATGCAGGGAAGCATGGCAGTGCTGTCAGACAGCGCCACAGGCACCACCATCCTGCATGGTCTTCCCTTATCCACACTGACCCCTCCAAAACATCTCCCTTCCCACCATCACTCCCTCCCTCCATCCCCCCTCCACCATCCGAGGTGGCGGAGATGCGGGGAAGCATGGCAGTGCTGTCAGACAACACCACAGGCACCACCATCCTGCATGGTCTTCCCTTATCCACACTGACCCCTCCAAAACATCTCCCTTCCCACCATCACTCCCTCCCTCCACCCCTCCTCCACCATCCCAGGTGGCGGAGATGCGGGGAAGCATGGCAGTGCTGTCAGACAGTGTCATCGGCACCACCATTCTGCTGGCCCTACCCCTCTCTGCACCGCCTCCCCCAACCGAACCTGGGGGCAGCAGCAGCAAGCGTTGGGGGGGGCGTGAGGGGCAATCCAGAAGGCTGCAGCAGCACTAGATGGGGGTTCCCAGAGGCCATTCTCGGAGCTCCTCGTTACATTCTTTCCCTTTAAGCCCAATGGCCCCTTTGAGCCCAGTGGCCCCTTTGAGCCCAATGGCCCCTTTGAGCCCAGTGGTCCCTTTGAGCCCAGTGGTCCCTTTGAGCCCAGTGGCCCCTTTCAGCCCAGTAGCCCCGTTAAGCCCACTCAACCCTTTGAGCCCAATAGCGCGGTTAAGCCCTGCAAGCCCAATAGCCCCTTTAAGCCCAGTGAACCCTCTAAGCCCGGTAAACCCTTTGAGCCCAGCAAGGCTGCACCTGCAAGTAATGGCACACTCGACTTTCCGCTTAGCAGCGGGCAGCATCGGGAGCAGCATGGGGGGGAGCAGCACGGGGGGTGTTGGGGGGATTTTGGCCGGCGGAGCGGGCGGCGCAGAGGCGGCGGTGCAGGCGGCGGTGGCGGGGCGGCGGGTGGTAGTGGTGGATGACAACGCGGTGAACCGCATGGTGGCGCGGCGAACACTGCAGGGCTACGGGGCACACGTGCTGCTGCTGGCTTCACGAGAGGACACCCTGCAAGCTGTCTCCTCCCACATGGACCCCTCTCCCTACTCCCCCTCCCCTCCCATCCAACTGGTGCTGCTAGACCTCCACATGCCTCCTGACATTGACGGGTGAGTGCCTCCCTGCTTTTAGTCATCTCAGAATCGAGTTCTGAGACGTCTCAAGATCTCTGAGTCGACTCAAGGGTGTTGAGTCGTCTCTGATCTTCATACACTTCCTGATAGTTTGTGCCTTCTTGGCCTCACTCCTTGCTTCTGCCTCTCTCTCTGCTTCTGCCTCTCTCCCTGCTTCTGCCTCCCTCCTCCTTGATACCATTACCCGCCGGCCATTGTACCGATCAACACTTCCCCCTTTTGAGAATTCTCAAGAGGCAGATTGAAACGGCACGTAAAATCCGGTGCATGGCACCACTCCATCGGTTTGAGTGCTGCTTTTGGCATTGTTCTGAGGCGACTCAAAAGTCGTCTTGCTACTCCACTGGTTTGACTGCTGCTTTTGACATTGAGCTCTTGTCCCTTTTTTCTACAAACTCCACCTTCGTTACCCTTGTGTCTACTGCTCCCGCATGCTACAGATTCGAAACGGCTCGGCGAATCCGGCGCATGGAGAGCGAACAGCAGCTTTCTATCGTGGCGGAGGCAACAGCAGCCAACGAAGCAGACGATGAAAGAGCTAGCCAGGCAGGGACAGCGGCAGCCGATAAGGCAGGAACAGACGAATCAGACAAAGCAAGCAAAGCAGAAGGAGCTAATGAAGCAAGAGCCGATGACGAGGCAGCGAGCGAGTTCAGTTTTCAGACGCCACAAGAGTCGACGACAGCAGCCGACAGTTCAGACAACGAATTCTCATTTCAGACGCCTCAAGAGTCAACAGCAGTGGGAGAGGTGGTGAAAGAAGCAGCGACTTTTGAGTCGACTCGAAAGACGGCAGCCGACGGTTCAGACAGCAAATTCTCTTTTCAGACGCCTCAAGAGTCAACAGTAGTGGGAGAGGCAGTGACAGAAGCAGTGGCGGGTTTGAGAAGGGCCTGTCCTCAGCGGTTGTGCATCATAGCACTAACAGCAGATCTGGACGTTGGGGTGAAGCGAGCGTGCTTTGAGGCGGGGATGGATGGAGCCGTGCGCAAGCCAATCGTGGCGCATGAGTTGCTTGCCGCACTCGTGGATGCCGGGTTTGCAGATTTTGAGATGGACGATGCACTTATATTGTAGTGTTTCTCTTTTGTGTGCCGAATAAATTTACTCTACTCTTGGGGTTGGGGTATATGGGTAGGGGTTCTTTACTTTAATTTCTTGAGTACCGTACATGATGCTTGCTTCTTGGGGGTTTTCAGGGTAGCAGGAACATCCCCTTTTGCTGTTTTTGCCCCAATGTTCAAGCTATGGTCAGGAATGTGGAGTGGAACACTAATGCACAGATACGGCTGTGTAACAGCAAGCTTAAAGTATCACTATCATACCTGTTTGTTTTATCGTCTGAAATTGTCAGACCCTTCCTGTATAGTCTATCTGACTCCGTATAATTTCTTTGTCTAGAAATATGCAGATTAGAAACATGTATCTGGAATATCTGTTATTTCATACCGTAAGTGTAGGACATGTTTCGCTTGAATCTTGAGGCATGTACGGTAGTCAGATTGTCCAAAAGCGAATGTTCATGTCCGCCACCAGCAAGTTCCCTGCCAAAATAATACCTCGCTAGTCTGTCACGTGTCAGCACACGTTATTGACTGCTGTCACCATCTGAGACACCTGCGTGGCGGCGTCTGTCTCGGAGATTTCTCGCGTAACCGTTCTCAATCGCCTCGCAGCTATCTGTACGAACGCGCTGCAGGCAGGCAGTGGTGTCGAAAGGGGTTCATTATGGAGCAATGCACAGGACATTCATTTCTGTCTTTTCTCAAGCGCCGGCTCGCGCCTCGTGGCCCTAAACGCCTTACCATTCTCAAGCGCCTCGCTATTTGTAGGAAAGCGCTGCAGGAAGCGTTCTCGAAAGTGATTCGTCATGGAGCAAGGTGACTTTTGAGTCTTGACTCATGGAGCAACGCACATGACATCGCTACCGACGACGCAGCAGCCCCCGCTACTTTTAGCCCCCGCTGCTGCTGCCACTGCTGCTTTCGGCTGCTGCTTCGGCGGGATTGAGCGGCGTTAGAGCCGCGGACGGCGACTTTTGAGGTCAGTGACCCTCGAAGGTCTGGGTTGAGCGGCGGTAGAGCTGCCGCTGATCATGGCGTCGACGCAGGATCGTAGCGCTAGGGGCATTGTATGGCAGCGATGCGGCAGGTGCTGAAGCGCTACAATCAGCTGCGGTGGTGATCACTGATGGTAGAGCTGCAGATGGTCAGGGTTGAGCGGCGGTAGAGCTGCCGCTGATCATGGCGTCGACGCAGGATCGTAGCGCTAGTAGGTGATTAAGAAGGCACCGAATGGCAGCGATGCGGCAGGTGCTGAAGCGCTACAATGAGCGGCGGTAGAGCTGCCGCTGATCATGGCGTCGACGCAGGATCGCAGCAGTAGGGGCATTGTATGGCAGCGATGCGGCAGCGATGCGGCAGGTGCTGAAGCGCTACAATCAGCTGCGGTAGAGCCGCGGGTGTTGGTGATTACTGATGGCATCGACGCAGGATCGCAGCATTAGATGGATAAGTGGGCATTGAATGGCTGCGATGCGGCAGCGTCAAGCGGCGCTATAGCAGATGCAGCACGCTACGAGTGACACGCTAAGCGCAGCGCGCGGCGCAACGGACGGACAGAAGGCGGCGCAGCAGATGGCGCAGGGAGAGCTTCTAGAGAAAAAGCGGACCTTGCGAGTGGGAGGTGACTATTGAGACGTCTCAGAAGGCGCAGCAGACGGCGCAGCGAGAGCTTCTAAGGAAAAAACGGAGCTTGCGAGTGGGAGGCGCGACAGCACAGGGGTGAGTGCAGCGCAGGGCGAGACAAGGGTGAGAGAGGGGTGGGTGCCGGGTGGGGGGTAGAGAGGCTAGTAGGAGGTGGGGGAGGAGGATGAAGAGGATGAGTGGGATGGACGGTGCAGCAGACGGCGCCGCGAGAGCCACTGGGGAAAAGCGGACCTTGCGAGTGGGAGGTGCGACAGTACAGGGGTGAGTGCAGTGCAGGGCGAGACAAGGGTGAGAGAGGAGTGGGTGGGATAGAGAGGGAAAGGAGGAGGTGGGGGAGGAGGATGAGTTTGAGAAGATGGGTTCAGGTGGTATTGTGTTCGGTTGTGTTAGGTGAGTCTTCGCTGCTGCTATTCTGTCACCCAGTGGCTTCGGGTTCCACTATCTCTGGTTTCAGCCTTCAGGTGGGTAGCTTTCGAGAATTCTCTGAAGCGTGTTTGAGAATTCGCGAAATTCGCCCAGTGGATTCGTCTTCCACTGTCTCTGGTTTCAGGTGGATAGTTTAATGACTTTGTTTGGGTTACCTGTGGTTGTCCCTCGGGTGGGTTTCCTGTGGATTCAGGAGGGTTGTCTATAACGTCAGGTGGGTTTTCTGTTGCTTCAGGTGTGATCTTCGTGGCTTCAGGTGGACAATCAACTCTTTCAGGTGGCAACTCCACCGTTCATGACATTGGCAAGAGCGTACCTGTCGTTCTGAAACAGAGCTCTTCACGCACACATGCTTGTTCCTGAGCTGAGGCGCCTTGGTATTGAGACGTCCCAAGCACCCTTGGTATTGAGACGTCTCAAAAGTCGTTCTGAATGAGGACTCTTCAAGCACCCACAGTTGTTAAGCTGACGCGCCTCAGCAAAAAAACTGAGGTGAGTAGATTAGGTAACGCACCCACATCTGCTCGTTCTTTCGTCAAGTTGGCTCCTGGAGCCATGCACCCACCCACGTGATAAAAGCTGGGCTCTGATTTGAGCTATGCAGCCATGAAGCTGGGCTCTGATTTGAGCTATGCAGCCATGAAGCTGGGCTCTGATTTGAGCTATGCAGCCATGAAGCTGGGCTCTGATTTGAGCTATGCAGCCATGAAGCTGGGCTCTGATTTGAGCTATGCAGCCATGAAGCTGGGCTCTGATTTGAGCTATGCAGCCATGAAGCTGGGTGGGTCTCAGAACCCAGCTTCGATCAAGTTGGCCCCTGGAGCCATGCACCCATCATCCTGAGCGCACCCATTTTTCTCTCCGAGCAGAGTTGGATCCCAAGTCAATCGGAGCTAAGGAACAGCCACACACGGAGAGAGAGAGAGAGAGAGAGAGAGAGAGAGAGAGAGAGAGAGAGAGAGAGAGAGAGAGAGAGAGAGAGAGAGAGAGAGAGAGAGAGGCTGGCACAAAGATTCTCCAACCTCTCCATTGATTCACTGAAGTGGCTCATGGAGAGAGTATTGAAATGCTGGCTGGTGGTTGGATTCTGTTGAGGAATCCGCCATCAGTTGTGGAGGGGAGGAGGGGGAAGAAGGAAGCTCGGAAAGACTTGGAATCTAACTTTGCTTGGAGAGAAAAATGGGTGCTAAAATAGGGATGTGGAGACGTCTGAAAGTCGAAGGGCAGTGATGATGTGTTTCTGAGTCCCCTCCATACAGACGTCTCTGATATGGGTGTTCTAGTTCTAGCAATGCCCGCATGCTGCGTATATTTCACTATCAACTCAAAATGAGCTCAAGGTGGAAGGGCAGTGATGATGAGCTTCTGAGTCCCCTCGATTATTGATACAGACATCTCTGATATGGATGGTTAAGTGGTGCTGCGTGCTGCATGGAGAGTGTATGTTGAGGTGTCTCAGGTCGAAGGACAATGATGATGATCTTCTGAGTCCCCTCGATCGATACAGGTAACGGTTATTGGCGTGCAAAATTACGAGTCTCTGAGATGGGTGTTGGCGCTGTGCTGCATGCATGCTACATAGGGTTTTTACAGGTACCCAAACACAAATTGAGCCTCTTGAAAAGGTTTTTTGTGAGTGTCTCACTGGTGCTGCATTCTGCATATAATGCTGCTGATGTCGTGTTGGCGTATTAAACCCTGTGTGCCAGGTTCGGTAAAGGTTCAGTAACTTTTGAAGTGTCTCACTAGTGCTGCATTTTGCATATATTGCTGATGTCGTGTTGGCGTATTGAACCTTGTGTGCCTGGTTCGGTTAAGGTCCAGTAACTTCTTCAAGTGTCTCATCTCACTGGTGCTGCATTCTGCATTCTATCTCACGAAAAAGCAGATGGTCACTGCATCCAGGCGTATTTTGAGGCGCCTCAAAATGACTTCAAGTGTCTCACTGGTGGTGCTGCATTCTGTCTCACGAGAAAACAGATGTGGTGTCTGGATCCAGGCATGGTCTTGGCGTATCTAGGGCATCATACTTTGTGTGTCAGGTTCAGTAGTTTCTTAAGTGTCTTACTGATGCTGCAGTCTGCATTCTGTCTCACGAGAAAGCAGATGGTCACCGGATCCAGGCAAGGTCTTGGCGTTTCTAGGGCATTAAACCTTGTGTGTCAGGTTCGGGTTTGGTGTGGGTGGGGAATGATGTGCAGTGCACGTGTGTTGTGTTGCCTTGGTGTTTGCTGACTCAAACGGCATGTTTTTTGGTAATCATTGAACCTTCGCACTCAAATCCCTGTGAGTCATCGATTCCACATGCTTAGCCAGCGTGCAACTCAATCCAACCAACCAGCACCCTTGAGAATTCTCACAAGTGCACACAGCCAGCCAGCCATACTCCCACTCTTCTTTTTCACCTCTCCCTCTCCACCTCCCTCTTCCCTCCACCTCTCTCTCCCCCTCTCCCCCTCCCCTCCTGTCATCATCCATACACTCCCAAGTCCGCTACTCACCCATCATCGCCTGCTGCTCACCCAAAGGGAGCACATTAGCGAGCTCTTGGCCGTTCACACATGAGTCGACTCAAAAGCAGCTTTGTGGCGTGGCCCATCACCCAGGCCTCACAGCAGCGAGCTCTTGGCCGTTCACAGGTGCTCTTGGCATCATCACAGCACCTTCTCACCTCTGACCTGCCATCATCCTATCATGGTCAGCCAGAGCAAGCACATTGGCCCATTCACACTGCCATCATGCTATCATGGCCAGCCAGAGAGAGCACTTGAGCAAGCATGAGCTCATGGCTGTTCACTTAAAGAGAGAGCTCATTAGCAAGCTCATGGCCGTTCACAGGTTGCATCCATCTCATCTCATGGTCGGTCATTCACGCACAGGTTACGTCCCAAGTACCTACTCACCTGAAGGGACTTTTTGAGTCGACTCAAAGGCCATCTCATC